ACGGTCATGGCAAAGCTGTAGGTGTAGGTCTTGTACTTGAAAGTCTGCCATCCCTGGACGAGCATGAGGATGCCAAAGACAATGACCAGAGCAGCGTTTATCGGCCGGTTGGGATAATATCCGTAGATCGAGGCCTCGACGGGACACTGGGCCGTGACCTCAGTGCAAGTTAGGGGGCTTCCGCCTTCCATCGTAATGTTGGCCAGCTATCAGTAAATGATAAATTTCCTGGTACGGAGTATGGACACACAATTCTATGTGTAGGGGTATTTTCTAAGTATGGCCCTAGATATGAAAGGGAGAGGCGGGCTGCATGGTATTTAAATATCTCCTAGACCAAACCGATCCTTCAGGTTTGTAAGTTAAAAAGGTCGTAGCCAGTTTATGTCAACCTTCCAGGCTGAGCTGCACTGGCGGCAGCGAGATAATGCAACGGGACCCCTGGCTGACCCCTGCGGCTTGGAAGGGAGAGCATGGCAGCCATGCCTTGGAAATTCAGTGTCATGCCGCTCGCACGGGTAACCGAATGCATTTAAATATCAGTTGGACACGGGCTGATCAGGCTTGACAGCCGATTCCTCAGGGATATATATATATGCACAGAGGCCACACAGGATCAGCGACCGTATGCCTGAGAAGTGTCAACACACAGTAAAGGCTCTCCGTTTCATCCTCCAGAGCAATCTAATGTCCAATGATCCTTCAGACTAGGGTTAGCTAATCGTTAACTCGTCAATCAGGCTGTTAGCCAAGCTGCAGGGTGATTAACTCATGGGGCGGGATGACGTAGAGCGTTCGTTTACGTCCGTACAAAACGGAGATATATTTGAAGTCGCCCGTAAGGTGTCAGACACGGCAATTTATTAAAATATGGTATAACAATACGGAGTGAGCGTTATCCAACGCTTCGTCACAGAAATAATGGCTGTTAGCTAGCTAAGCCATGTTATCAAGGTATGTTAAGAATGAGCTTGAGTATTTGGCGATCGGCGATTTGGATTTATCAGCAGCTAATCCTAACACTTCTGCTGTTCGTAGAGGACAATTTGTAGCGGTAATTCCGCTACTCCGTACTCCCTCCTTATCTAAAGGCAAAAAATCTTGGTACGGGTTCATAACGCCAGTTGAAAGCGCGTCTTGACTCGTTTTGCCTCTCCAGCTTCTCGGCGATGTGGCCGTCGGGTCAAACGATTAGTTACCGTCTTTTTCTAAGCAAGTGAGCTTACATCGACCGACCTGTCATTGTCGCTCCCGTAAAGACCATGCTCTTTAAAGCGAGCACGGAGTCCTTGCTGTCTTGCCTCAGGCCCTTACCCAGAGAGAGTGGCTGTCGTTGTCTGCTCCCAGAGGTTGGCATCGGGTGGAAACAAGGTTTATCCGCGTGCGGGAGTTCCCTGCCGCGAGCTAATCCTCTTTAGGTTAGCCAGCTCACGAGTTGCGTCTTGGCAAACTCCCGTGACGACTTCAGCCTCAACTTCGACCTCAACGCATCAAACACCAAAACTTCGTCCTTTTTCGAGCAGTCAAATCGCCGGCTTAACATGGAGCTCTGCTGCTTAAAGGAGTTACACAACATTAACAATACCATGTTCTTCCTCTCTACGTGTGCTAAGCCGAGGCTCACTACGGTTCGGTAGACCTGGTCAGCGCTATGTTTTGCTCGATCTGTCATTCGCCCTGGACAGCTGCAACAGATATATGGTCTTGGGCTACAGTGGTACTCCGTAAGTTTTCCTGTGGCTGGTTAATAAGTTACTATAATAGGCCATGTTAATAAAACTTATCCAGTGCCTCCACTTCCACGTTGACTTGCACCCTAGAATGTTTGACTCCTTGAAGGTCAATGGGGTCTTAACTGAAAAGGAGGTTACTATATAGGCGGCTATGGCGCAAGGGTTTTGACCTCTACACGTTGAGAATTCTAACGCAGACCTAGACTTTCGGCAAATACTGCTATAGAAGACGGAACGAGGACCAAGCTTGATTAATAACTGATAAAACTGATCGAAAAGAATATACCCGAAAAGGTTATCGAGGCCGTCTATACCGCACTCAGTCCTGTTCAAGAGATACGGCCTAGTGCACCCGCAAATATTAAGGCTATATAACTTGTTAGCCCTGGTCAATATACGGGTGATAAGGGGTACCGACGAGAAGCTTAGACATAACGTCTTGTAGCGCCCTAGCCATACATCTGAGAGAATGGCAAATGGCAAAGGCGAAAAAAAAAAAAAAAGAGAAGAAAAAGAATGCATTGGAAATATTTGTCGCGGTTGCTTGACCAAGTCCTAAAGAATCTGGGACAGCAAGATTGCCGCGGCCATATGGTATATAGTTTTCTACATAGGGTTAGGAACTAGCTGATTTTACATCCTGACAGCTATCTTGAGACTTACGCCATGGAGTTGTTGCAGCGTAGAATGTAAATCTTTCCGCTGCACCCGCTACGAGAGCTACCCAAACGACAGCTGGCACCGAGTCAGCCACATGCTGGAGATTAACGACTTCGTCCTGGGTTGCCTCGCGCTTTTTGTGTTGTGCTTGTGGAGTATCTATCTCTCAATCAAAGAGGCTTATGTTTAACTAGAGATTTCGTGACAGTTGGGCAAATGGTCAATAGTTACGCAGTACCGTTGCAATTATAGAGGAACGTGAATGCATTTAGTAAGTACGGATACTTTTTTTGGAATTGGTCAATAGAGGGGGTGCCTGGCTCAAATTTAGGGAGATAGCATTAATCCTTGTAACTAATAATTTCACCTTGGGCCACGTAAGAACATAGACAAAAAATACAGCATCAGCAAAGTAACTATTAACTAATTACACCGGGGGATCCATGTAGGTAGAGTGGCTTTTGCAAGGGTTACAAGAAATATGCAATTCAGAGCACATCTTGGGGCAGGGCTTCCTGCGGGGACAAGCATTTAGAGCACAAAGAACTGAGACACAGCGTAAGTCCCTTTGTCCTCGCGGAGCGCAGGAGCCTGCGTTGTCAATACGGGGCAACCAAGCTGACAGTTTATCTGATTGGCACGCCAAGCCTCATCCCGGGAGCTTAGTTACGGCGCATCTCGTGTTATTATTGGATGATTTAAGATATTAAACTCACACACACGGGAAGCCAAAGTCTCTAGCCGCCAAAGTTCAGCAAATCATAACACTTGAATGGGGAAAACGAAGCATCCGCTCACGCGACATGGCGATTTCTGCGCCTCCCCCCTGCTTAACCAAAAATCCGCCAGATGTTAGTGGGATATGGAGCCCACGCTTCTTGTCAGTATGACTAAAGAGGATTCGCATAAAGTTATCTGCTTTGTATATTTTTGAAGATATATCGTTAATGGGTATGTGCAATATCTGAAACGGGAGGAATCTGAGCCCCGATTGAGGAGGCTGTCCAGGAAGCTTATGGTCTGCTGCTTTCTAGATACAGTCCCTTGCCAGAAATCATTGGCCGGCTCCACGCCAATGTACTCTGTGGGGTGGCCAATGATCTCTGAGTATTGTATCAACCCTAGAAACTTTATTGTTAGTGAAGACGGGCTTCTCGCCGTTATCGAACTTGTATGGAGCCGTCTATCCTGGGTGGAGTCTCGGCTCTTAGCAACGTGCACAGCCCCGGGTACAAAGGTGCATCGTGGATGAATCTACCTGGACGTGATCGACTTGACAACATCTATGCACTCTCAGCTGGTCATGGATGGGAGCCCCTTTTTGTGATATGGTGGCCAACCGCCCCTTCGACCCACCAGTCCAAGCTAAGCAGCATACTTATAGGTATACCTGTCCTTATCCCTGGTATTCGGGAAAAGCGAAAATTGAACTAACTGAACAGCAATCTGCACCCCAATTTCTCCTCTTCGGTTGAGTAGAGAGCAGACAAACAAGGTTGTTATGTAGGTAAAGTTGCTGCTGGATAAGGCTAGAGAAACGCTTATCTCCATGCTGTCTCTGATCCTAGATATCTCGATCCCTTAGCTGCGATACCAAGTCTAAGAGGTTCAGCTTCCTCTCCATCTTATTCTCATCTGCCTCATCGACAAGCTCTGCGTGGGGGCGTGTGCTGCCAGGGGGTAATCCGTAAGCAGCTGGGGTTTGACCGGCTGATATTGGATAAGTTTCTTCGGGTCTTTCATCAGTCCTAGGAATGTCGTGACGAGTGGCACTGGTACTGGATAGGTGTGTGCTTTCTCGGTTGTGTTGCTTTCCAAAGGCTGATAATATTAGTATCCTGTTTCCTAAGCCACCCAGGGTAAAGGAGGACTCAGTTTCACTTACGGTGACTTCGCGATCGTTCAATGCTGAACGATCTAGAGCCTTCGAATGTCCGTAGCCCATCCTTGCCCCTAGTTATTGCTTCCTTCTGTTTCCATATGGAATCATTTCGCACTGAGCCTACCTGGGCTTGGGCAAGCCAGTCTTGGCGCGGATGACGGTACTCGGGAGAAGATCTGCCTTTGAAATCGTACCTGGCACTCCTTTGACTCGCATCTTTAGAGCTTTCTGGTTGGGCCATCCCACTGGCATATTCATCGCTGGGGGGAACCGAGGGCAAAGGGCTTGAGCGAGCCTTGTGGATACATAGGGGATCAGGCCGGAGGGAAGAGTGGAAAGATTCTCCTCCCCCTGACCGTGGTGGACTCCGTGACTCATTTCGTTCATAGCGAGGGTGGGCATATTTGAACCGCTCTGGAAAGTTGCGCATTTGTTCCTCCCTTAACTGGCGGGTGCTACCGGTATAGCTAAAATCCCGAGAGTTACTCTCAGTTTCACGTACCGTATCTGACCCCATCGTTCCAAAAGGGCCCGTCGGTGTAGAGTTGTTTTGATAAAATCCATCTTGACGGTAGGCATACCTTCCATAGGGATTATTTTGTTGATAGGATTCCCCTTTGTGGCCGTAGTATGGATGTGGATTGTTCGATTCTAGAGGGACGCAATGATTCAGTACTTTTGTTTATGATTATTCGAAGAAGATCGTTTCTTTGTTTCAACAGGCCAAATAAAGGAAATAAAGAACTTACTGCGTGTCTGGTCTCTAGTCAGCTCCCGTAAGGGTATTGATTGCTGTGTCCTATAGTCATTGCCGCTACGACCACCAGAGCTTGACGGAAACAACGTTGTAGTGCCAGATGGAGCAGAGTTTGAGGCTCCAAAATCTTGTAGTTCATCTTGCGATACTACAGGCGAATCAGGAAACTTATGCATAGTTTCATAGCTCTGCCTACGATATCCTGGGTCCTGGTTGAAACTGGTCGAAGACGGTGTTAAGCTTGACCCTGGTTTCTTATTTTGAATCAGACGCTGTATTCGCAATTCTGTAGTTGATATACCGGCAGTATTAGCCGGAGACGATGGCACTTCTTGCTGGGGAGTTTGTGACTGGGGGTTGAAGGGAGATTCTTCCTCAGTATTAATAAGAGGGCCACGGCTCGCAGATATCTTATATAAATGTTTGAACCAGAGGAGAACGATAAGGATAACCACAATAACCAGAGAGGATATAAGAAAGGGAGGCAGGAGTTCGGACTTGTTGTTCGCCTCTCTCATGTTCAGAGACTTGCAAGAGAGCCAGAACCTTGTCTCCAAGTGGATAGGGTCTCTGGCAGGCAAACAGGCACTCAATATGACTAGAATAGACCAATCCAGTACAAAAGAAATAGGACATCATAGCCAAAAACAATGATGCACCAGTTGTATACTCTCTGTGTTATAATACTGATGCAGTGAGCACCGGGCTTTCAATTATCAAATAGTCAAAAAGAGCAATTGGGGTTGTCAAATCGTTATAATGTGGGGTTCCGGGTCTAGCCAGGTATATTAGGGTGTCTAGAAAGGGTTCATTGTGAA